ATCTCATCCTTTCCTTCGTTTGCGTGCACATTGGTCCCGGCCTTAGTGTGTACGCGCACTTTTACATACCTTTAAACACAGGTTTCAGGTCGCCCAGGTCTTTACAATGAGGTGGGCTTCATCGGGTGTCCCTGTGCACTTGGTTCCTTTCTCATTTCAACCACACGCACCTTTGTCCCGTCTCGTCCTCCTGTCATGTCTTCATTCTTTTGTCTTGCGCGCGCGCACGCACACATTGTGTGTGTGTGCCCCTTGTAGTCACAGGGATTCTTTTGAATTTTATCAGCTCCGTTTGCATTTCCATAAGCGTAACCCTTGTAGTCACAGGGCTTCTTTTGAAGTTTGATGGATGACACTCACAAATCTTGAAATGTACCATGTTGCTGCAGTTTAAAGGAATGACGCGCACAAATCTTGATGTGTTTCATGATGTTGCAGTGCAACCTTTGGAGTCACAATCCGTTTTTTGATTTTGTTGTGTGTTGTTTTGCTGCCTTGTGTCTTGTGGGCCCTCTAACCTATTGCGCAGGCCTCCAACCTTGTCGCTATGGCCTCTTTCTATTTGCGGCGCCCTTCTAGTAGTTGACACGCCGGTTGCCCTTAGGGCCGGCGCGTCCACTCCGCCTGACTGGATGCTTTCCTATCCAGTCAGCAGAGTTGGGGTGGGCATAGATGCTTGCTGCTGCTTGCTGTTGCTTGCTGTACCCTCGGTACTTGGGCCTCCAAACTTAGGTGCTGGCCTCCAAATTCTAGCGATGGCCTCTAATTTAACTTTAACTTACCTCGTTTCCTAAGGTTTTTACTTAGGCCGGCGTGTGGCACCGCTATCAATTCCGTATGCATATCCATAAGTGTGTACCCCTTGGAGTCACACGGATCCTTTCGGAATTGTTTTGGCTTTCGTTTTTCATACAGCAGGGGGACCATCCATGCGCTGTGAGCGATGGTCCAACGAAGCGGCCACAGTACATGCGGGTATCACGGCTGATCACTGTGACGTACCTGCTGATTAATAATGATTCAGTGCTTCAGGTAAAGGGGCTAATGCACTCTCCAGGTGTTTAGGTCTTTAGGTAGGCCTCCAAACTTGTAACGAGGGCCTTTCTACCTGGATGCGACGGCCTCCAACTACTAGCAATGGCCTCTAACCCTGGCTGTCTTGTGCGTCGTGTGTTTCTTGTGTTTTTTGTCACCAACCTACTAGTGATGGCCCCTCAACCTGCCTTCGACGGCCTCCAACCTAAGAGCGTGGACCTCCAACTTACTTGTCTCATTTTACAGGCACTTTTTTCACCTAGGTTTCCGTGCGGCGTGGGGCATTCCGATCAGTATGCGTGTCAATAAGTGTGTCTGACCTTCGAGTCAGGTCAGGGTGACCCTGACGAGTGGCCCCGTGGATCCGTTGAACGGGCTTTGTCGAACGTATCCCCTGCCTGCGTACAGAGCAGCTCGCAGCGAGCGTAGGTGGCTTACGCCAAAGTCATTTGCCAAGATTTGACGAATTACTAGACGCATTCGGGCATGCCTTTAGGTGACCACAGCGGTCAGAGCAGCCAGCCATTTTGGCACGGCGTATGTGGCCGCAGCGGCCGAAGTCACTCAAGGCTCACACACAGCGTAGACATTTAAACGAGGCGAGGTCTGCCTAGGTGTTTCTAATGAGGTTTGGCTTCATCGGTTCTCGCCCCCTCCATTTGGTCCCCTCTTCATCCTTTTCCCCTTCACATACATCACACATCTGTTTTCTTCCTTTCTTTCATGTCCTCCGTCTTCATGTCTTGGCATTTTGTTCTTTCTTTCTTTCTTTCTTTCTTTTGCGCACATTGGCTCGGCCCTTAGTGTGTACGTTCACATCTACATATACTTTGTTTAAACTCAGGTTTTAGGTCGCCCAGGTTTTATAATTAGGGGGGTTCTAGGTTCCTCTTCATCGCAACCACGTACACCTTTGTCCTGTCTTGTCCTCTTTTCATGTATTCATCTTTTGTCCGTGTTGCGCACGCGCGCGCGTGCACATTCGCCTTACCCTTAGTTTTTCGCCTCCCCTCGGGGAGGTGTGTGTGTACCCCTTGGAGTCACACGGATCCTTGCGGAATTGTTTTGGTTTTCATTTTTTATACAGCAGGGGGACCATCCATGTGCTGTGAGCGATGGTCCAACGAAGCGGCCACAGTACATGCGGATATCACGGCTGATCACTGTGACGTACCTGCTTATTAATAATGATTCAAGTTTTCCCGAAAGCACCTGCGAAGGGTTTCTTCCAAAGGACATCTGCTCACATCATCTTCCAATATACTCTGTATCATCATCGCATCATCATCATCATCATCGTCGTCGTCATCATCATCATACATCAGACATCATACATCATACACCACGACATAACATGTGGGCTTTGCAGATGTGGGTTTTGCAGGTGTAGAGATGTAGGTGTTGAAAGGTAGGTTTTGAAGATGTGGGTTTTGCAGGTGTAGAGATACAGGTGTAGATATGTAGGTGTAAAAACACCTATGCGCGTCGAGTGCTGAAACGTGTGGTGAAATGCGAATTTTGAGTGGGCGCGGGTGACCCCCTGCGAGGATCGTGCGTCTCGAGTGCTCAAACGTGTGGTGAAATGCGAATTCGGTTGGTGCGCGGGGGACCCTGCTGCGATCACCTTCCACGTAGAAGCAAGATATATTAATTTCTAGCATCGTCGTGCGTGTCGACGCGTGACTTTTGGAAGAAGTCGCGCGTTATGGAGACTTGGAGGAAGTCTCGTACGAAACGCTCCTTTTGGAGACTTGGCGCTT